CCTGCAGCCCCCGCTGATGTCACTTTGCTAGAGTCTCCCAGCTCTCTCCTCTGGGGGAGTAACGTGCATTTCACAGCACTTGAGAAACACAAAACACCCATTTCCCCCTTCAGGGCTCACCCCACATGTTCCTTCACTCTCACCATGGTCCTGGGCTACTTCTTCCTTCTCCCTTCACTTCTGCAAATTACTCTCATTTTCTATTTGCTTTTACTTTTTCAGGCTTAATTTTTCCTCCTTTCACCTATTTCCATAATAAACAATAATGATGTATGACCAAAGAGACAATGGCAACAAATTAGGCAACCTCATGAAATAAACTCCTAGAAAGACACATACTATTGAAACTGACTCAAGAAGAAATAGAAAATCTGAATGGACCTGTAATAGGTAGTGAGTGAATTAGTAATCAAAAAACTAGCCACAAAGAAAAGCTTGGGACCACATGGCTTTACCAGTGAATTCTACCAGATCTTTTAAAAAGAATCCCAGTTCTTCAGCAACTCTTCCAAAAAGAAGAAGAAATACTTTTCAATTCAGTCTATGAAGCTATTATTAACCCTGATACGAGCAACAAAAATACTCAAAGAAAAGGAAACTGCAGACCAAAATCTTTTATGAACATAGATGTAAACATCCTCAACAAAACACTAGCAAACCAAATCCAGAAACATATAAAAGAGATTATACGCCAGGGCTAAGTGGGGTTTATCCTAGAAATTTGAGAAACAGGAGACAAATGAGAAGGGGAGGTTTGGTATGAAGTCCAGACTGCAGCACATCCCCCATTCCCGTGCCAAGTGCGGGGTCTCCAGTCTGCATCAGGGCGGGTGGGAGGCGCAGGAGGAACCAAGGGTCACAGCATTTACCCTCTTCCAGGGGGAGCTGGCTCCCTCTCCTGTGTATGGGGACTGAGAAGTTGTTCTCTGCTCTTCTGACCTATCTGTCAAGCTGCAAAAATCAGAGACTCACAGAGAGCTTTGAGCTGGTTGGGGCTTCGGGGACAAATTAGTCCCAGCTCCCATTTTGCAGCTGGGGAAAACTGAGGGCCACAGAGGTAGGGGGAGTTGCTAGTAGTCAGGGAGATAACTGGTGGGAGCCAGGACTGAAGCTCTCACTCCCGCTTCCCACCCAAGCTCTTTCCTTCACCTGAATCATGTCCATCGCTGCCCAGTAGCTCAGAGTGGATGAAACTGACCTGGCTGATCTTGTCACCATGGGTATCAGGGAGATGATGATGATAATAATAATAATAATACAGTAATACTTAAATATAATTCTTACTTTGTGCTAGGCAAGGTTTTAAGTGCTTTACATGCATTAGCTCACTTAATCCCCACAGAAATCCTACAAGGTAAGGATATCGATATGTTCCCATTTTATGGATGAAAACACTGAGGCAGAGAGAGGTTAGGCAACTTGTCAAGGTCACTCATCTAGAAAGTGTAAGAAGTCTGGCTCTTTGCACAGTTAATCCCCATCTGCTCATTTTTTTAAAAAAATTTTTTAACGTTTATTTATTTTTGAGAGAGACAGAGATGGAATGCAAGTGGGTTAGGGGCAGAGAGAGAGGGAGACACAGAATCTGAAGCAGGTTCCAGGCTCTGAGCTGTCAGCACAGAGCCCGACGCGGGGCTCGAACTCACGAGCTGTGAGATCATGACCTGAGCCGACGTCGGTCGCTCAACCGACTGAGCCATCCAGGCGCCCCCTCATCTGCTCTTCAAAATGAGGTAAGAAAGGCCTCTTGAAAGCCTGGTGCTTGACTGTGAAGTGCCTCCCATGTGAAAGAGACGTCTCTGCACACTTTTTACCACTGCTGGAACACCTTGGCCCAGGGACCAGTCTCCACGACTGTGCTATTGACCAAATCTGGAGTGGACATGCCAGGATTTTTAGATTTTGTCTCTGACGGGGACAGGGTGGGCCATGGGACTCAGTGATGCACAGCTTCTCTACTGTGGAGTCCATGGGAGGCAGGGGGAGACGCTGGTCCAGAAAGTGTAAGCAAAATGTCATGAATCTGAACTTAGGGGCACAGATGGCATTAGGGTTGTGGCAGCTGGAGTGTTACTGTACTGGAAGGCGCCCGGGGGACGATCTGTGCCTTGGTCATTCCTTTCTATCCCGTGGCACTTTCAGCGTGCTGTCCCACTAGCTCTTCAGGAAAGATCTGTGTATGGCTGGACAAAGAAACGAATGAAATTCTGCCCCTCTGTGTGTGCTGGTGGCTGGGTGGTGCTGGGGGACATGGTGTCTTCTACCTCCACGTGGGTGAGCAAGGTACAGGTGGCATGAAGTCGGGGTGCAGTCAGCCTTGGCAGGTCCCTGAGGGTCACAGGTCCTCAGTCAGTCCCTCCCCAGACTCAGGATGCCACGGCTCCTGTGGTCGGGACTGACAGGACTTGCTGTACGTCAGAGCTCTTCCCGAGTCCCCGATCTGACTGGCACTTAGGGCATGTGGACGTCATATGCAGCTGCCCACACTTGTGGCTCATCTCCAGATAGAGGGGAGAACATAAGGGCAAGGAGCCCTAGGTTTTTAATATCCTCATGCTTCCTAAGAGTTCAAGCCAGAGGCTTTGGATTGAATGATAAGGGCTTAGCAACGGCAACTGCTTCACCGTTACAAGCTTCTTCTTCATCTTGGAAGTGTCCTCTATAAACAATCCGTATGGCATCAAGCCCAGTGCCTCAGGGTCACTGGTTACTTGGGAGGTGGCCTTCCCATAGGAATAGGCAGTGGCACCATAACCATTCCTGCCAGGCCAGTTCCCTCGGGGATATGCCCTTAACTGGGGTTATGGTGTGGTCTACTTAGAATAGACTCCAGAGGGCACAAGAGCAGTTTGAGGAATCTGATTAACCGTACGGAATGAAAAGACCTCCCTGTGTCCCTTGTTAAACCTGCCCTCTCTGGCTCTCATAGAGGCACATAGTAGGTACTCAATAAACGTGTGGAATTAATAAATTATGCCCTCATCTCATCTTAACATAAAGTGGCTTAATAGTGTCAACATCCTGAAGGTAGCCTTGCTTACTTTTTAAATCTAGTGAAAGTGCACTGAAAGGTGGGATCAGTACCATGGGAGTCACAGGGTAAAACTAACGTAAGTTCGTTGGTTTTGGTAAGGACCACTGCCGTCAGTGGTGCCCCCTAGTGCAGGTCCCTACTACCTCCTTTCCGTATGCGTTTGTGTCTTGTCCCCGGACACTGCCTCCTTGAGGGCAGAGGGACTGCACTCCACAGACCTTGCATCCCTACCACAGTTGAGTCCTCAACACAGTAGGGACTCAGGAAGGGTTACTGAACTAATGAGAGGTCATATACACAATGTGAAAACATGCGCACACACCACAGAAGTGATCAGTGGATGCCGTGGTCAGAATTTGTTCCAGGACATTTGTTGTGCACCTGTAAGTGGCTGAGAAAGACTACTGAGCACGGACACGGCGGTCTTTAGTGCCTGTTCACTTGAAGGAGGAAGCGTTGGAAGTGAACGTGGGCATTAGAGTCATCAGACTGGTTTGTATCCACAAATTAGTGGCTGTGTACCCTTGGGCAGAGATGATCTGCTTCTCCTAGCTTAAAAAGAAAAGCAAGAGACAGGCATGCCCAGTTGCCATTGTTGGTTTGGATTAAACAAGATTCTGATCATCAAGTGTTTGAACACAGTCAGTGCTAAATAAATGTAATCTCCTGTTTGCCTCTCTCCTTTCTCTCTCATTTTCGTCCTCTGAAAAATAAGGGGGTGGCCCTTAAAGGTCACTTATGTGGGTGAGCGGGGACAGAACAAGATGTCCTGTGACCACTTTCAGAGTAGAGTGGCAAGGACTGTGACACACATGTACTTTCCTTTAAAGGAGGTGCTCTATTAGCGAAGCAAAGCACCACAGCACAAATTAGACACCACCACTACCAACAAGTTAGTCCCAGCAAGCTTCTGCTGGGGGCTGGAGCCTAGTTCCAGGGTCATAAACACAGCTACAGGGTTGCTGGCATTAAGCGTGTTCCCTTAGCCCTGAATGCTTACAGAGACAGTCTTGAGACTGTGGGCTTTCACCTTGCCCTTCTTCAAAAGCAGAAACAAAGTGCCCAGGAGGCTGTCATTTTCCCAGTCCACTCCAGAAGGCGGATCTTTGACTTGTTTGTTATGGAAACTCTCTTGTGGGTGATTCCCTTCTACAAAGAACAAACAGCTCCTGGGTGGCCACAGACTGGGTCCCTTTCAGAAACATGGAACTTCTTTAGGGAAATCTGTTCCAGATAAAGTGAAGCCATTGTCTTCCAGACGCCTAAGGAGTTTTAAGGGATGGATGGTCGGAGCCGGGCCTGGCTGAGCTTTCGGGTACCCACAGAGGGACTCTTGCCCCTGTCCCAAGTCTCCAACCTGCAGTCCGGAAACCAAGCATGCCGTTCCATACCTCACAGGACCCCTATGAGACCTCTTGGAGAGGCACTAGCTCAGTTTTGGCCGTGAATCAAGAACACCTTGTCTGATTTAGTGTACTGAGATATGCATGACTGAGCTAAGGTCACCGCTGAAAGTGGGGAGAAGTGGCCACCTATTGTACACTTAAAGAGGGGGTGGGGAGGTGAGCACATATTGAGGCAAAGGGACAAAAAGGGACCAGCCAGCCAGCCAGCCAGGCCAGTTTGGAGCACTTGTATCTCACCCCTTCCCCCCGACCCCCCGAGACATCCTGGTTCTGTGTAAGGGGGCTTTCCACCACATGGTGCCACAAGCTGTTTCTGGAAGACCTTTTGCATGTGGACTTCCCCTTACACAACCCAGAGCAAACCAACCACTCAGGGGCTATAATCCTTTGTTGGGTATTGCCTTAATTTAACGCTTCTGTTCCCTCGTCTGAGCCTTTCAGTAAATGGGTGTTCCCGGAAGGTTTCTAGGTGTGCTTGGTCTGTTACTGGGTTAGTGAATACAGAAGCAGAAAAGAAGCCTCTGCAGGGAGCTCTGGGCCCGGCTGCAGGCGGCCCCTACCATGTCGCTCTGTGACTGCGTGGCTCCGTAGGCGGCAATGCCATTGGAGGGTGCGGCTGGCTGCGGTGTGTCAGGCTGGATGTATCCTCTTCTGTCAATCAGGCTACGAGAGAAAAAGCAATACGGAGGAAGAGAGTGAATAAAAAGCCAAAGACTCATCAATACTATTTTAATTTCCATGCGGGGCTCCCTCTTTCTGTGTGGGGCGCCACTGCACGCACCTGGGAATACACCCTGACTCACCTTCAGGTACAGTCAGTACCAAATTCTGTCACCTCTGCCTTTGACAAATGTCTGTAGCGTCTGTTCCCTGCCACCAGCTACAGACTCCCACCCCCTCCCACCCTGTCCTCCCAACCCCGGCCATCATGGCCACTGGGGCCCCGTCTAACTGCCCCCCATCCTGATAATGTCTCTACGCCCGCTGGCGCTGCTCGAGGGAGGGGGGCGCGCTCCTTCACCTGCGAACACTCCAGGCCTCGGAGGACTTGTCCCCACTTTCCGCCCGGTCTCAACCCACGCCCTCTCTCTGCAAGCGCAGCACGCCTAGCTCTTTGGGACACCGTGCGCGTGCGCCTGCGCCAGCACCAGCGCATGCGCAGGAACAGAAGGCCCCGCCCCGCCTCTCTGGGCTTTGCCACCTGCGCCTTTCGTTCGGGCTCTGGTTTCTCTTGCCCCAAGTCACTCTCCCTTCCACCCCGCTGTCCGTTCTTCACGGCCAGGTTCAAAAGCCCCCAGCCTTTGCTTTTGCCCCTTCTCCGGATTCTCTGGGACCTGCGTGTGACTCCTCTAGGGGCACATACCACTTGTCGCCTGGTGGCGTCGTGATTTTACACACTCCCCTCTGCCTGGCAGCTGACCTCGAGTCTAAGGGCAGAACTACAAAGGGCAAGAGGAGGTGCAGCCAATAAGTGGGTGCTCCTGGTGCGGCCCCCACCATCTGGGGCTCGGGCCACACTCGTCGGAAATGCTGCTGGTGCATCCAATGTGCTCACGTACATTCCCCACTCCTGAGGGCGGAGGGCTGGTCCGTGAGGTCGCCCTGCTACTTGCCAGGCCCGCAGAAGACAGGAGTTATGGCAACCTCTACCTTCAGGTGTTCGGACAACACAATAACAAGGCATTAAAAAAATACTTGTGATAAGATCTTGGAATGGGACTCTTGTCTGCTTCAGTTTCTGTTGGATCCCCAGAGGTTTAGAAAAACCAATAGGCAACAAGAAGCTCCATCTTTCAAAAAGAGGTGCTGGAGCCCCGTGCAGCTCAGACCAAGTTTGTGACCCCCTGCCAGGGCACAGAAGGTCAAAGGGGTAAAAAGCAAAGAAGGGTGCCGCGGACTGGCAGACACCTGTACCCTCCTGAAGACACACACAAGGGAGGCGGGGCGAGGCTGAGGCCAGACGCAGATCCCCTGGGAGAGAACCAGCGTGGAGTTGGGGGGAACGGTCTTTCCAAAAGATCCCCTGAAACCCCAACCTGGGTAGGGATGAAGGGGTGGAAAGTGTTGCTTTTCTATGAACTCCGGAGTTTCCGTTCACTGAAACAATATGATTCTCAAGGAAATGAAAGTGCCCTGAGTCCTTTTTTTTTTTTAAGTGACAGGAGAAACTAAGGGACTTACAGGGGAATTCATTCAGGAGCAAAAAAAAAAAAAAAAAAGAAGAACTAGGTCATCAAAAGAGTCTGAAAGGGCAGCAGGGAGGACAAAACAAACCTCTTCTCAGCCTTCATCCTCTGTGTTAGGCCTGTTTAATGGACCAGCCACATGCCCCCAGACTGTGACAGTCTGCCCCAAGTCTCATTTTAGTCCTCACAATGGCCCAGGAGCCCCTCCTAATCTGGATGTGCTCCCCTGGCCTTACCTCTTGCTTTGCCCTCTGTAGTTCCCTCACTCCTACACACGAGTTCCTTTAGTTCCTTCTCCTACAGGCTCTCCCCTCACCTCAGGGCCTTTGCACATGCTGCTCCCCTTTCTGTTTTCCCTTAGTTCCCGTCCCCCAATTGCTCCTCATCTGTTAGAATAGATGACAACTTAGGCCCCCTCCTCTGGGAAGCCCTCCTGGGTTTCCCATGGAAACTGCACCCCACCCTCTGTCACAGCCCCTTTTGGACTATGTAGACTTGCCATTCTATTAAACGTGTCAACCACAGGTTGACCCTTAGCCCTGGCCTGCAGGGCCTGACCCTGACCACACCTTGGGAGTGGTCTTTCTTTCCAACTTTCCATTCCTTCTGCCAGACTTGTATGAGGACCCCCTACCCCCAAATGTGGCCATTCCTACCCTGCTGCCATGCACACCTCTGGGACCCATGCAGGGAACTGAATGTGGGTCTTTGCCCTCATGGCTCACAGCTCTCAGTGGGAAACATGAACACACTCTTGTTTTGCTTTCTTTCCCTTCCTTCCTTCCTTCCTTCCTTCCTTCCTTCCTTCCTTCCTTCCTTTCTTTTTTAGAGAGAGAGAGAGGGAGACAGAACATGAGTGAGGGAAAGGGGCAGAGGAAGTGAGAGAGAGAATCCCAAGCAGGCTCCAGGCTCAGCGTGGAGCCTGATGCAGGGCTCGATCCCACAACTGTGAGATCATGACCTGAGCTGAAATCAAGAGTCAGATGTTTAACTGACTGAGCCAGCCAGGAGCCCCACAAAAACACTCTTATGAGCACATCATTATGCCATTTAAGAACATTTTAGAGAAACTCAGGCACACGATGCTGGGCATGTCACTGGTTCTTAGTCCCTGATGGACAGGCTTGGCTGGGATGTCCAGGGAAGGCTCTGGCCCTCTAATGGGCACAAGGGTGAGTGAGGTAGGGCAGAGAGAGAAGGGGCAAAGAAGGTGACAGGAGGGAAGAACAAAGCCAGGCACTATCCCCCCATTGCATCTGCCCAGGGTGGGGGAGCCTGTGGGTGCAGTGGGAGAGGCCAGCAGCCCATCTTCCCTGTGCAAACCTGTGAGCAGTTCACCACGTGGTGAGGGGAGGTTGTCCTTGAGAAATGCCCCATCCAGAGGGACTTGGGTTTTGGAAAGAATACAGCCCCAACTCAGCCACAGTAGGAAATTTTATCCAGTTATGGAAGAAAGAAGTTTGGTGTGACAAGATTTGTTCTCTAAACAAAACAAAGCAGCACCAAATGGGGAACAAGAAAAGAGATTTGTTCAAAATGTGAGACTTTTAAATTCTTTTCATGGATTCAGATGTGTATTTTAGATTTAGGGAAGGAGGCCTATTCAGTTCCCCTGGCCTCTTATGCTCCTCCAAGGGCCCTAGCCCTGGCTGCTGGCCTACTCCACTCTCCACAAATAAATACACGCCAGTAGGAAACAAAGCTAAATTGTGAAAAACCAAGAATTTCCTGAGGGATTTTCTGGCCTACAGAGCTCCAAGAGAGATGCCTGGGTGGGTCTGGAGTTGTCTTGGAGAGAGGCTAGCACCCTCCCAGGCATGCCTGACTCCCCAGCCCAAGGTGGCCCCCCATCCAGAGTCCTTGGCTGCCCCTTCGTGCAGCCCCTCCTCAGAGGAAGCCTCTGAGGAGCAGGCCAGGGGCTTCTGGGGGGCCCCCAGTTCAGCAGGAGTATGGCACACTAGGCTCACAACTTTCTCGTTTCTAGAAAACAACCAATTTCTTACATTTTTTTTGAACGTTCATTTATTTTTCAGACAGAGAGAGACAGAGTGTGAATGGGGAAAGAGCAGAGAGAGAGGGAGACGCAGAATCTGAAGCAGGCTCCAGGCTCCGAGCTGTCAGCACAGAGTCTGACATGGGGGCTCCAACTCACAAACCGTGAGATCATGACCTGAGTCGAAGTCTGATGTCCAACCAACTGAGCCACCCAGGCGCCCCCAGAAAACAACCAATTTCTAATTACCCAGTAGTACCAGTAACATAACCCAGTACCAATACGTGGCCTCAGAATATGTGCTTGGATTTTGTTTCTGGGGAGGGCAACACCCTTACTTTCCTAATGATATTTCACTGAGGCTGATAATAAAAATTAAGTTTGCATTCCATTAGCACATGTCGGCAATGACTGGCCATGGAGGTCCAAGTGCACAGTGGGGCTGCCTCGGAGACAGTCCCCATGGCTTTTTGTGGAACCTCTCCATTTATACATTTAGAAGCCACAAGGGAGGAAGTAATAAAGGTTTGGAAGCTCATTCTAGAGACTCGGAGTACTTGCTTAAGAAATATGGTGGATGATAGGTTACTCTGTTGGAAATGCTCTGCATGATGTAGCTCACCAATAAGCAGGAGTCGACTGCATTTTGTACTCACGTAATCCTGCCTGGGGCGGGGTTGGGGGGGGGCGCTCGCAAGTGCCATTCCGCACACACCCCGGTTCTGACACCAGATGCCTGGGTTTGGGTCCCGATGAGGCAGAGTTTACTAGCTGTGTGAACTTGGCACCTTACTTTACCTCTCTGTGCCAGTTTCCTCATCCACAAAAAAGGGGCATAATACTGCCTTAACTCACAGGCACAGAGGGAGGTGTTAAAAGCTGATACAGGGGTGCCTGGGTGGCCCAGTCGGTTAAGCATCTGACTCTGGATTTCCGCTCAGGCCATGATCTCGTGAGTTCGAGCCCCGCATTGGGCTCTGTGCTAACAGTGCAGAGCCTGCTTGGGATTCTCTCCCCGTCTCTCTGCCCCTCTCCGACTTGTGCACACACACCTCCTTTCTCTCTGTGTCTCTCTGTCTCTCAAAAAAAAATAAACTTAAAAAATTATTAAAAAAAAAAAACGTAAAACAATGAATAGAGGCTGATACATATAAAGCACCTAGAGCAGACCTAACACTATTCAGTGTCAGCCACTGCCATGGTCAGTGTGGTCATGTTGCCATTGCCATAATACACGCTGCTTCAGCCCAGTCCGCTCTGTCCTGTTGAGCTATTTTAGCATGTACATCCTGTATGACTCAGCTCTTAGCACCTCCTTCTACAGGTTTTCTAACTGCTTCCCACATTGTGTCCCGGTCCCCCTACTAAGCTGACCACAGCTCTCTGCTTGTCACAGATGCTCAAGATGACTCAGTACTTAATTGGAGTCACGTGCCTCAGTTTTCCTGTTTGGATCCTTAGGAGATTTTCCCCGACCTTGACACAAATTCAGTGAAAGAACCAAAAAGAGGGCAGGAACAACACAAGAGACAGCCGTATCTCCACTTCACTAAGGCCGTGTCTCCCTGACACAGAGCAGACCACTGAGCAGCGGTCATATAAGGGGTGTGACCAAAGGTGACAGTGGGTTTTGTGGCCAGGTCTCCAGCTCGTGAGGCCTGTGCCGGAGGCCTGTGCTGTTGGCTTTCCCGAGCTCTGTTAGAGAACGCGATCCTTTCTGACTCTTACCTTGGAGAGATGGGCCCACACAGGGCAACACAGCAATTTGTAAAGATATTTCCGTAGCTGTAGGGATTGTAATTTTCTTTACCTCTTTTATTTGACCAAGATCCTTTAATCTGAAAGAAAAGGACGGCGAATGATACAACATCCTTCATATTGATGCCACACTTTAGGCGAATGGGGTCACGAGAAACTCATCAAGAACGTAAACCATCTTTACTCATTTCTTCACAGGGAGAAAACCGAGAGACTTTTCTCAAGGAAAACTGGCATTTACCTCAAACTTGGAGATATCCCCAGACAGCAGGTCAGACTAGGGAGAAAGTAACATTCTTTGGGGACAATAATCTCTTGTTCCCACAACACGGTGCCCAAAGGTCAGCTCGCATAAGCCAGCGGAGATTTGTTTCATACAGTTGGCGTGCTAACCAGTAATTAAACAAATGGCAGCCGAAAGAGTTAACACGGCTCCCGTAACTACCCACTTATAGTCTGAATTCAGCCTCACGATGTTACCAAAATAAGCCCACAGATTCTAATATTCATAGTTGCCAAATACAAATAACTCGATTACAATTCTCTTAACTCATGTATCTCCTCGGTGCTGATTTTCCCAAGCCTTTAAGGCAACCTGACTGATTCTGAGACATTTAATTCCTGTACTAACAGACACTTCTGTCAGAGTCTAAATATTCGGAGCAAAGAGGACCAGGCTTATGAAGAACATTTCCAACATTATGTTTTCTGTTTTTATACCTCCTCTCCATCTGCATTCAGTAAAGGCAGATAATCCTGGACAAAAAGTTAAATTCTGGGTGGGGGCAGTCCCCTCCAAAAGTGTTAAACGTGAAAGGCAGATTCATCCACCCTGAGATATCAGCTGGACGTGGTCTCTCCTCCAGAGGAGGTATGACAGGTTGCTCACAAAACTACTGAAGCGGAAGGAATAGACAATAAGCCCCTCCCTCAGAGTTTGGAGATGGGGGTCTCTCAGCTGACCTTAGTATCTAACTGATGTGGTCAGAAGGTAAGAGAGGTTGGAGATTCCCCGCTGGAAATCATGGAGACCCTAGGAAAATGCTCCCCCTGCACATTGTTTGCTCCCAGAGGCTCATACCTGGAATGGAATATGTGCAAGGCCTTGGCCCCTGAGCTCCTCTCTCCTGTCCCCCCCCCCCGCCTCTGGACGCAGACACACACACCCACCCCCCAGACCGCTGGGAACTCACATCTTCATTTGTCGTCTGGTTGGAGCTGATCAGGTATGTGTGGAAACCCGAGAGGCCGACGATAGACCAGACGGAGAAGAAGCACACCACGGCCTCCAGCACAGTGGCCTGGGGTCAAGGAGAAGAACGGGGTGGGGGTGGGGGGTGGAAGCGGGATAAGTTCTCAAGGCGCCTGCGGAACCAGGATGATGTAAGATTCGGATGGGAAACCCCACAGACGCTCACTGAGGCCTCTGAATCTATCTAGCTTTGTCCCTAACCAGAGGGGGACCCTTCAGGTCCAGCACTGTGCCCTTCTCTCCTTCTGATTCACCCCAATCGTGCTCAGTCAACGACCAGTGGGCTCCCCGAACATTACCTGTTTACTGTTTCACGGTGGACAGTTCCTCTGACTGGGGACATTTCCTCCCCACCTGCCCTTGGCCTTTTCCTGTGGCTCACTGTGCAGCCAATGACTGTGACAGCAAAGCCGGAAGCACGCTGGCCGGAGTTGGCAGCGGCCCAGGCCTGCTAGGAAAGGACGCGACATTGAACATGAACATCACTGCAGTCTCAGACTCTAATCTCAGCTTCTGAACGCTGGGCACTATCACATCAACAGGTTTGTCCCCCAACCTGATGTTGAAGCCGAGTGAACCGTCACACAACAGTAGTTGACAATTGTGAGCAGGGCCGGCCACCGGCAACTGTAGCCTGGGCAGGGCTCACCTTCACGGCTTTCTCTCTGCCTGGATGATCCTTTCACCCACTGGTGGCTGCCTGCCCCCACCTATGGGTGGGCTTCTGAACCAGCAGGGGCATTTCTCAGAGTGGTGTCAGGGTGAGGGGTATTTTTACTTAGGGGACTCTTTGCCAACACCTTAGCCCACCCCAACACCTAAGGCTATTTTCAGCTATTTGATGGGCAACTAGGAAACGTGGATGCTTAATCAGACATTGAGTGATGGCACATCCCGAGCCCCACAAAATGTGCTACAACCAGAGGATAAAAAGTGTGGTATTCTTCAACAGATGAGATAAATCAACCCAGAGTGTGGCAATTTCCAAGGACTAGAGAATTTTTCTGTTCCACAAATGTTTATAAAATTCTATTTACAAGATATAGATGTTTCTCTGGGGAAAAAATATTCCTCACAGGTCTGGGAGTTTAAATATACACCATCCATCCCCCATCAAGAAGTTACAGGATGGAGAGAGTAAACACCAGGCTTTCCTGATGCTCTCAAGGGTAGAAGCCAGAGATCACGCTGTAATACATCACCATTGATCTTTTTTTTTTCAGGATTGGATATAATTCATCTTTAGACCAGAGCAATGAATACAGTATTCAGTGCAGCGCCATAATCTGCCATGCCATTATTAACAAATACCACCGTCCGGGCATGTGGGGTGAAATACAAAACGGGAGAAATGAATGGGCTCTTGCCTGTTGACCGACTGACTTTCAACATCGGGACAGACCACTGGCCCTGCTCTTGGAGAAGCAGAAGAATGCTCTGCTCTTCTAAGGTTTAAGCTTCTAGAAACCGCAAGCCTTCAGAAAAGCACTACCCTGAACTTAAATGGACATCTGAGGAGGAGAAGAATGTACCTCTGCCGGCTAGCTAAGACGAAAACAGCCCAGCGCACCCAGAGTCAGACAGATGCCAACACACGCTGCCCAACGTAGGCCCTGCCCGTTCCTCGTGGAGGCAGGAGTCGGGAAAAAGGGAGGAGTAGCTACATCGCTTGAGAAGAGGAGAACCAGGTGGTTATTATGGAAAAGCAGGTGAGTTCGGACGTGCAGGGAGGATCTGTGGAGTAAGAGAGAGATGCAGAGAAGCAGATCCCAACCTGGATCTGCCTTGGAACCCCAGAGTTCTCAGGTGGGCCAGTGGTTAAGAAGGGAGGCCTCAGGTGCACGTGGGGACACACGGATGGTCTCCTTCTCAACGGCCTTCTCACAGGTGAGGCTCACAGGTGCCCCTCTTCTGACCATCCCCCCGCCCCGGGGGCAGACTGGGGAGGCAAACCACGTGGGTGGAGTGGAGTCCCGGGGGAAACGATGCAGGTAAGCAGCGGGAAGACTGAGTCAAGGAGAAGTGGGTTGCGGAAAGGCGGGTGACACTGGCAGTGAACCTCCACCGGCTGGAAGGAAAAGACAAGAGATACAAAGATCAAAGAGGAAGGGACACGTGAAACGGAAGCAAGAAATGATCAGGGGAGGAAAGAGAATAAAGAATGAAAGCAAAAGATTTATTTGCTGAATAACGCACGAAGAGCCAGACCTCCGTCTCAGAAATGCTTCTGTGTCACCAAAAGTTTGCAGTCCAGGTAGAATGATGGTGATGTCAAAATACACACAAATTCATATGCGTGAACCATATAAGACCTGGTATGTCCACGTGAGGGAGGATCACAGCATTTAACGCGGCACAGCCCATTTTCTGGTGGCTCTTCCCTTTGCAATGCCACTTAAAATTATTACTCCCCAAAGGAGGCATTGTTACCAGTGGACATGGGATTTTAAAGGCTTACAGGTCCAAGAATAAACTAGCAGATCTCTATATTAATATCTTATGCGCTTTAGAGACATTTTATAATTAGCAGATTGTTAGCTCACAGCTGTGTCAAAATGACACGAATTCAAGGCAAAATGCAAGACGCAGCCCTCTTTCCCTTGGCCCTCACAGTGGAGCCCCCCACAGCATGTCTTAAGGAACCCTCATCGTCATTCCTAACAATGGCTGGTGTCTCTGGCTAGGCATCAGGTAGTACTCCAAAGGCTTCCTATGGATTAACTCACTTAATCCTCAGTGACCCAGGGTGAAGTGTGATTCCCACTTACCCAACAGGGAAACTGAGGCAGAAAGCAGGTAAGTACTTTGCTTGAGAAACAGCAGAGCTGGAAATGGAGCCCTGAAAGTGTGCCTGTGCCAGTACAAGAGAAAAGCCCTGGGCTGGTTCCTTTCCTATTCCTGCTGACATTCCCGTGGCTCTAGGCTGACCACAACCCCTGCGGGGGAAGACGGGGATCCTCTTTTTGTCAGGGATTTGTGAACCTTTGGCAGCCTAAGTAGACCACTCCCCCTCCAAATTCCCTCTCAGGCTGGGGAACAAATATTTGAACAACACATCCCCTCACTGACTCCAGAGCCAGATGTTGAAAATATCTATGCCATAATAAGATTAATATAAATTTTTCATAAGTGTATCAAAAGCCATTTACTGATATTTTTAAAAGAGGAAATGAGGAAGAAATACACCAACTCGACTAAGAGCCAATTTAATAAGCAGTTGGGTGTTACTGTATCAGAGATGGTTCAAAATGATAGCAGTTACTACTGCCAGCCTCTTTCTCCCTCCAACCCCCAAGAAGACAGTGAGCCCTTTTTTTGGCCAGGGGTGTGGCATTAAATTTAAGTTCTACCCCAAGATGTCACACTTTGAGGTACTCACGAGATGACTGTGGAAATGAAAAAGACTTTGAAAAATGCTGATGGGCAAACAGCCCTCCACTGAGTTTCCGTGGGATCCCAGAAGTGCCTGCTGGGTGCCCTTCTGTGCAGCCAGCCCTGTGCTTAGGACAGGAGAGGGGGGAGGGACTCACTTCCTGCCCTAAGGGATCTGTTTGCCCTTGGGAAGGTAAGTGAGGTGAGAAGGCCTTGCAGACACAAGGGAAGAACTTGGACAGAATGGTGAGGGCATTTCAGTGTTTGGAAAATCGTAAAAGGTGAGAGATCATGGAACCAAAGATTTCTAACCTTTCTGAGTTCCCACTCTTTTCTCAGAAAAAAAAAAATGCACGCACATTTTTTTTCTTCTGATTTCAGGAGTTTTAGAAACTCTCCTGACACCTTTCCATAGATACACATGGACCTCAAGTTAAAAAGTCCTGATTTATCTTAATCCCTTAATTTTACAAGGAGGAAGATGAGGCCCAGAGGGGTCAAGCTGGTAATTTACATGATAGACACTTTGACAATGGAAAGTCACGGAGACCCTTGGGTGTGGATCATGTGACCATCATCTTTCAGTCTCTCAAATCCTTTTCCCCATATTCTTTTATACCAGGAAATAAAGATGTGCAGTTCTCCCAAATTAATCTATGAAGTCCCTGTAATTCCAATCAAAATTCCGGAATTTTAAAAAGGAATTAAAAACTGACTCTAAAATGTCAGGAAGAGAAAACGTGCAAGAATGGGTAAGAAAACTTGAAAAAAAAACCAACTCTTGGGTTGGGGGATGGGAGGACACCTTTAGCAAACAAAACACAGAGTCTGAAACAGACCTGTGGGCACGAGGGCTACAGAAGGCATTTCAAATTTGGGTGAAAGAGTACACTGGCGACTCTCAAAGTGTGGCCCGTGGGCCTTTGGGGTCCCCGAGATCCTTTCAGGGAAACCCCCAGGTTAGAACTATTTCCCAATCAATGCCAAGACATTGCTTCCCAGTCTAACGCTTCTGTCATTCAGGGGCTTCATCTGAAGGCTTTGGGAAGGGCCTCACTCCCATCATAATAGGGAAAGTGCTTGTGCATTCTGTGTTTTAGAAATTTCTCAGTTGTAGTTTCAAACATGACCTCTAGAAATATATATAATCTACCTAAACAAAAGTTCCTTGAGTCCTCAATAATGTTTAAGAGTGTTAAGGAATCCTGAGACCTAAAAGTTTGAGAACTGCCAGAAGTGAACAGTGAACAGCACTGGGACACTTCACTAAGCATTTGGGAAAAACAAAGTGAGAACTTTAGCTCACCACACACACACACACACACACACACACACACACACGTAGATTACAGATAAATTACCGTGCCAAACTGAAGAAATAAAATGTAAAGGTATTAGAGGGAAATAAAGGACATATGCCCATAATTTTGGGGTTCAGATATAAGACACAAAAGCTAGGAGCCATGTAGTATCTGATTTGTAGATGGATTTTGTTAAAAGTTAAGCATTTTTTTTTTTTTGTATTAAAAAAGTCAACTTAAAAGGTAAGTGACAGGTTGGGAGAAAAATATTGGCAAGAGATATTAAATGGTTATTATTAAGAATAAAGAACATGTTAACAGGAAAACAACAAACAACCTGATTACAAAATGGACAGAGATTAGGAGCTGGCACATT